AACCCTCCCATACAAGCCACATTTGTGGAGAATTTGTGATATTGTTGTCACATGCACACAATGACCACTCTTTGTCATAAATTCCTGCAACTGCTCCAGAGTTGCTGTAGGCCTCTAGATAGCCTGTCTGATCAGCTTTCCACTGGCTCATTCATACAGTTTGGAGCGACATCCTGATCCAGGGAGGATCTGTGTTGTACCAAATACCTTCCACTTCTTAATAATAGACTTCACTGTGCTTCTAGGCATTGATAAAGCTTTTTAAAAATTTTTTTTAACCATCTTCTGATTTGTCACCGCTGCAGAGGCTTCCATCTTCACCGGTCTTACTTACGGGTTCGCAAGCTCTGGCTGTCTGACTGGCCGAGCCATGATGACATCATTCCCGTGTGTGCAAACAGGAGTCCCGGAGCCACGTCACAGTGCTCTGAAGGAATGGCACAGCTATGCTGTTCCTTCAGAGCGCATACGCCGGCTGTCAAATGGGAGTGAATATCTCCTAAATGGTGCACGTTAGGAGATATTCCATTTACCTACAGGTAGGCTTTATTATAAATTTATCTGTAGGTAAAAATAAAAATTCGGAGTTTACTACCACTATAATACTGCAGGGACCACACTGACTTAAGCTTAGTACACACGATCAGAAAATCAAAAAAATACCACTTTCAAAACAATTGTATCATAATCTGATCAGTAGTACACAGCTTTTTTCCAAAATTATTCGAAGGGACAAGCACAAACATTTCTCTTGTTCGATACCAGATAGTATGACTTTCGTTTAATCACCACAGTTTTTGTCTGAAAATACAATACAAATACATTACATCACTTCCGAATTTTCATAACTTTAGTAACCTCTTCACTTTCGATATGAGACTAGCATGGGGGGAAAAAAAAGGACGATCATTTGTCCAATATTCTCTGTGTACAGGTGAGCAGGGCTATTTTTCTGTGGGAACACAGGGGGAACGCAGTTTAGGCACCTCTAGCACTAAACGTAATGCCAAAGGGTTCTGTGGTGTGCTGGAGGTTTTATTGATGTTGGCTGCTGGGGGATCTTTTGTCACTCGGGGGGTCTATTGTTGCTGATGGGGATCTATTGTCACTGATAGGGGATCTATTGTTACTGACAGGGATCTATTGTCGATTGGGGGTCTATAGTTGCTGGTGGGGAAATTATTGTTCCTGGGGTAGGAGAAATTGTTGCTGGGAGGGATCTGTTGCTGCTGGAGGGTTTATTGTTGCTGGCTGCTTGGAGATCTATTCTTGCTGAAGGGGTATATCGTTGCTGCTTGCAGGGGATCTTACTCTCTGCTTCATTGCTTTCCTTGTTATCATGAACAAATTCCATTGAAATTACTTAGAACTACAAAATGATACTTGGTTTTTTATTCTCTAAAAGGGTTAGTACTGTGAGGTGAGGGTTGGGAAACTAAAGGATGGTGTTCAGAGGTGGGTGGGCGGCAGAGACAAGGGGCAGCTTAGAAGAGGAGAGTACCTACACCTATTCTCTGAGAAAAAAAGCCCTGCAGGTAAGTTGGCATATTTCTGCAGTGTAACCACTTGCCTACTGGGCACTTCTACCCCCTTCCTGCTAAGGCCAATTTTCAGCGCTGTCGTACTTTGAATGATAATTGTGCGGCCATGCAACACTGTACCCATATGAAATATTTTGCCTTTTTTTTTCACACAAATAGAGCTTTCTTTTGGTGGTATCTAATCGCCACTGAGGTTTTATTTTTTGCGCCATAAATGAAAAAAGAGCAAAAAATTGGTAAAAAAATAAAGGTTTTCTTTGTTTCTATTATAAAATTTTGTAAACAGGTAATTTTTCTCCTTCACTGATGTGCGTTGATGAGGCTGCACTGATAGGCAGCACTAATGGGCACTGATGAGGCCGCACTGATAGGTAGCACTGATGAGGGGGCGCTGGTGGGCATTGACGAGGAGGCACTGATGATGCACTGATATGCAGAAATTATGTGCACTGATAGGCGGCACTGACGGACAGGACTGATGGGCGACACTACTTGGCACTGATGGTCGACACTGCTGGGCACTAATGGGCTGCACTGCTGGGCACTGATGGGTGGGATTTCTGTGCACTGATAATCAGTGCAGATCTTCCGTCATATCTGCTGGTTATTAGCAGTACTTTCTTCATGCTGTGACAGCGTGAAGAACATGCAGCCGATAACCGGCAACTATATTTACATTGTGATCTTCTGTGTCATTGGACACAGCAGATCACGTGGTAAAAGGCCCCTGTGATTGGCCTTTTATCTTATCACGTGATTAGTGGTGTCCGTAGGACACAGCGATCACCGATGGCGCTGGGTGTGTGCCGCTAGGGGCGAGTTCTGGGAGGACGTCCATGGACGCACTCCCAGAACTAGACAACCGCACTGTAGCTGTCTTTTGGCTATAACGCGGCTGGGAAGTGGTTAAAGTGGGCGTAAACCCACTTTTGTATCTTTTACCTACAGGTCGGCTTACAATATAGCTGACCTGTAGGTAAAATGAATATCTCCTAAACGTGCCCTGTTTAGGAGAAATTCGCTTTTTGTCCGCTGAAGGAACGGCATACCTGTGCCCTTCCTTCAGAGCACTGTGCTGTGTCCCGAGACTCCCGCGCGCATGTGTGGGAGTGATGTCAGTGCGGCTTGGCCAGTCCTCACGAACCCAGAAGGAAGACCTGGGACACAGCACCGCTGGAGGGCTTCGTTTTAAGGTAAGTCCTGCATGATGTACTACTATGCGATGCACACCAGCACATTACGACATTACCTTGCAGGGGACTTTTTTAATTTTTCCAGCTGAGGTTTACTGCCGCTTTAAACCATTTTACCTTTATTAGCAATAAAAACGGACAGAGGTTCTAGTCCTCCACTGTCTGCAGCCCAGCAGATATGGCATCATGAGATATAATACCGTATGATTCAGGAGTACAATACTGCACATTTTGATGAGGTAACTCATGGTTTCTTTTAGTAGAGTTTTTTTGTGAATTGCAAACAAAAAGATTTTTTGAAAAAAAAGCTATAAGGTATTTTCTCTTAAATAAAGGGTTAAATAACTGTTCCTGAACTGAGCCCACTGTGTGCTTAACCCCTTGACACCGACGTCACACAAATATGCGGCCTCACAGAACTGAACAGAACTTTTTTTTCCGTGGGGCCGCATATTTGCGTACCTGTCTTTGTGCTGGGAGCACGCCGCACTGCACGCGCCCAGCACAAAGACCGCGGTGTCACTGAGAGCCCCGTTCTAACGATCGGGACCCGGGACTCCCGATTCCGGGTCACATGATCACTGTGATAGCCTCTGATTGGCTATCACAGTGATCAGTCACTGTGCAGCCTGGCCCCCTTGTTTTTTTCTCTCTCTATGAATGGAGAAGAGAGATACATTGTATCTCTCTAACTCCTGGCAAAGGTGTCTGTTTATGACACAGAGAATAGCTGCGATTCAGAGGATTGCAGCTATTCTCTGGTCATTCACAGTTTATGACACTCAGGAGATCCGCGGAGAACATGTTCAGCCCTTCACTGGAGATCTGTGTTCTCCCTCCAGATTCTCCAGCCCAGAGCTGGAGAATCGGAGGAACCGAAAACTAAGCAGCGATCATTTACCTCTGCTTAGTAACCTGATCTTTTACTATAATCTCGCAAGATTATAGTAAAAGCAGCCGTTTTCCAGTGTTTGTAGACCGTTCTCCCTTCGTTCTGAGAACTGATCTACACCGCTTCATAAAAGGCATTCACAGGAGAACAGTGTTTTCCGAGAATTCCGGAGAACTGAGCAGCGATCATTTACTGCTGGTTCATAAACAGACACCATAGAGAGAAAAAAAATGTTTGTAAAAAAATGAATATTAAAAAATAAAATTAAAAATAAAGAAAAAATACCTAGATCAAGGTTTGATCTAGTTCAGTGCCAGGGTCAAGGGTCAGGATTTGTTTAAAAAACAAATTGGTATCGGTGTCAATTAATATGTCAGTGTGTTTTAGGTGAAAAAAAAAAAGACAAAAACAAAATGCACACTGTTGATTCCGGCCTGTACTACGGGTACAAACAACAAATAACATACACATATATGGTATCACTGCGATCCTCAAGAGCTGGAGAATTTATTTTGGGTTGTTCTTTGGTGGTAGGTTATGGTTGTAACAAGAAAACACACAGCAAAATATTTTTTTTTTGAGCCAGTTTTCCTTTGATAATAAAAAAAATCAGGGGATATCCATTACCATTTACCACCAAATGAAAGCCCATTTTGTCCTGAAAAAATCAAGATATAATCAGGGGTGGACTGACCATTTGGAAAGTGGGGCACTGCCCGAGGGCCTGGGGTCAGTAGGGGGCCCCATGAGATGCCTCTGGTACCTTTTTCATAGGCTTTGAGTTTGGGCAAGGACACAGGGGCCCCATGATCCCCTATTGCCCGGGGCCCCATGAGTTATCAGTCCACCCCTGGGTATAATCCACCTGGATGTATAAAGTAGTTGTGATGATATGTACGGTTTTACTAACACACGTCAACATTGCAGAATTGTGTTTAGGCGTTAAGATTTGTTTTTCCATTAGGCGTGAAGGGGTTAAAGCTGTCCCTATGATTCCAGTAAGTTGGAAGGCTATGCTATGTCTGCGGTATGAACAGTGAGGGGAAAGCTCCCCACAGACTGTGATCAAAGACCGGGCAGGTCTCTCCTCCTCCTTCCCCCCCCTCCACAGGGGCGCGCTATGTACAGTGGTGGCGGGTCATTGTGTAGCCCAGCAGCCGCCTGCAGAGCTGTGTGTCCTCTGTACGTGACACGGAAAAAAGGCTGAGCCAGTGTGTTCCAGGCCTCCCCCAGCAGGGCGCATGAGCGGCTCCCCGCCCCCTGACATAAGGCAGCAGCTGACCTAGAGCTCCTTCTCAGTTGGCTGCCGCTGTATGAGGAGAGCAGACGGGGGGAGAGCTGTGACTTTGAGTGACCCGGTGTAGAGGCCGCACGATGTACAGCTTCGCACTGATCACGGTGTCTGCCGTGTTCCTTTTACTGGGCGGGAGAGGAGCGGACGGCTCAGGTAAATGGCATCACCTCGGGAGGGAGGGAAAATACACATACAGGCCTGGTACCGTGTGTGCGGGAGGCCGGCGGGGTCACTTGTAGGGAAGGACATGTCATCCATGTTTATAGATGTCAGCGTAGTTCTCTCTATTACTAATCGGGGATGGTTAGGCCTACTAGGCGCTGAGGAGAGAGCTGAATGCTGCTGACTGGGGACACTAGCTGGGCACTAATAGCTCCAGGCTGGCTGATGTGACTGAAAAGTGGCTGGAGAGGAGCTTCTCCTGAGCTCTGCTTATGTTTGTAGGGAAAGCTGGCTACACAAGCTAGGCCTTGTTTTTATCTCTTAGACACAGCAGACAATGGCAAGCCATGTTTGTCTCATTTGGGAGATCTCCCTCTGCTTCCTGCTGACTTCAGAGACGACAGGAAGTGAGGCTACATTCACACTGACAGAGAATAATGTTGGCTCACAATGTTGTCCTCTAGTTAGTCCAAAGTCCCACTGAAATGTAAACGATGAATGGTTGAGGAGAGAGCCTGAAGGAGAAACCCTGCTGCTAAATGCGGGTAGGGTTCTTTAGCAGTGCACACTTAAAGGCTGGCCTTCCAAAAAGGAGTAGAAGCAGATCTCCAGAAAAATGGAGAAGGCGCCACTGAGTGTAGACTATAAGGACTTTATTACAATTCACTTACAGGAACACTCACATTTTGGAAGATCTGTGTAAGCACATCTTTAACCACTTCCATACCGGGCACTTTTACCCCCTTCCTGCCCAGGCCAGTTTTCAGCGCTCTCACACTTTGAATGACAATTGCGCGGTCATACAACATTGTACCCAAACTAACATTTTATCATTTTCTTCACACAAGCTAGAGCTTTCTTTTGGTGGTATTTAATCGCCACTGGGGTTTTTATTTTTTGCTAAAATTAACAAAAAAAGAACCACATTTTTCTTTGTTTCTGTTATAAAAGTTTGCAAATAAATAATTGTTCTTCATAAATTTAGGCCGAGATGTATTCTACTACATGTCTTTGGTGAAAATAACCCAAATTAGGATGTATTTTTTAGTTTGTAGGAAAGTTATAGAGTTCACAAACTATGGGATATATCTGAATATTGATTAATCCTAAAGTACTGACAGCCAATCTAATTTCTTGAGGTCCAAGAATGTCAGAACAGTACAGATGTCCCCCAAATGACCCCTTTTTGCAAAGTAGACAGTCCGATGTATTTCATAAGAGGCATGCCGAGTTTTTTGAAGTTCTATATTTTTTTTTTTGTCGATTTTTCGAAATTAAAAAATTTAAAAAAAACTATATTCACAACTTTTTTTTTTTTTTTTATTTTTTTTTTTACATACTGTCACCAGTGCAGTACAGCGTCGTCATAGAACTGGCATGGCCGTGATCAGAGATACTGACTGGTGACAGCATGGGAAAAAAAAAAAAAGTAAATTTTTTTTTTTTTTTTTTTTTTTTTTTTTTTTTTTTTAAATTAAATCGTTTTTTTTTTTTTTTTTTTTTTTTTTTTTTTTTCATATTTCACTTTGACCAAAGTAGTACAATGTTACCATAGTAACATTGTACTGCTTTGGGGAAGTGATCAGTATTTTATTTTTTTTTTACACAATTTGCTTATAGCAAAGAATTACTTTGCTATAAGCAAGCATTTACCTGAATGACATCGATTCATTCGGGGTTTTTTTTTTTTTTTTTTTTTTTTTTTTTTGTGCTTAGCTGTGATTTGGCCACAGCTAATCACATGACACAGCTGGGCTGTGATTGGCCCAGCTTGTGCATGTGATCGCTGTGACCATTCACAGCTAGGCACACTAGTATACAATGGATGGCATGAATGAAGCCTTCCATTGTATACAACTGTCATGTGACCTGCTGTGATTGGTCACAGCAGGTCACATGGTACCGGCAATGAGGCCGGTACTCGGATCTGTCATCGGCCGTGTCTGAGGTATGTGGCCGGTGACAGTGCGCGGCTCTGCAGGCGCGCAAACTGCGCATGCCCGGGAGGATGCCATATGGCGTCCACCCGGAACGCTGAAGGACGCCTGCAAAACGGCCATTGGCCGGGCGGCTAATGGTTAAAGTATGGCCGTCTTCCAGGATGGACACGCTGTAGGTGCAGAACCTGCAGAGACTGGAACAGGCTGAGAGCTGTGTGTAGTGGGTCCTGGTCAGGTTGTTGTGTGGAGGGAGCCAGGTGTGTTCCGTAATTCGTGTTGGAACGCAGGTTAACCGCTGCGTTCTTCATGACCAGAAGTTACGTGGTGAAGTTTTAGCCCATGCACCCCAACTACAGGGGCACGCTCCTTTATCAAGCTTCAGAAAGGAGCGTGCCCCTGTAGTTAGGGCGCATGCTCCGAAACGTCATCGTATCACTTCCGACCACGTGGTTCCGAAGTATGCAGGCTCATGTTGCAAAGGAAAGCGGAGAAAGTAACGCATGCATGACTTTTAAAAATGCACCTCACCAATTCGAACTAACCTGGTACATGTGATTGGTGCCTGTAAAAGCACTGCGTTTGCTATCTACTTTTTGGGTACAAAGGCTATGATTTGTGTGGTGCAGGAAATGCACATGAGACATGCCTTCTCCGCATCGCTTTCTGATGTAAACTGACCCTTAAAGCAGAACTAAAGTCTACAATATTTACCTCTGCTTCCAACAGTTCACATTCCCTCATCAGCATCTTCTACCTGACTTTTTTCCGGGGTGCCAGGCTGCAACCATCTAGATAGGCCAGAGAGGGAAGATGTGCTGGAATGTAAACTGAGCTGTGCATGCGCAGCTTGACGTGCATTCTAGAGAAGGCTGCGAACAGCCAGGTAGATTCGTTTTATTGCTGAAGAGTCCCTTTTGCAATAAAGAACCTGTTTACAGTTTTCTAATTGGAGACATTTTGTTCTGCTTTAGGATTCACATCTATGCAGGTTCCCAGTGTGCTTTTGAGTTTTTTGGGGGGGGGTTTCCACACACTCCTTGACACGCATTTTATGTGTTTTTGGGAGGTGTCTGTTGCCATTCAGGATAATCCACCAAAAACACATAAAAAAATGCAAGCACTAAATTTTTTTTGATGTATTTCTGCTGCATTTCAACTGAAGTCTATTAAACCAAAAAACGCAGCCTGCTGCAGGGAAAATAAAGGTCCCTGACCCTTTCTAAAAAAAACGCAGAGATGTGAACAGGAAACCATGTTCAATAGACTGTAGTGCGTTTCTGCAAAACTGAAAACACACTGAAAAATGCATAGTTGTGAACCAAGTCTTAAAAGGTTCTGTTTTTACCAAAAAACTACTTATGCAGATGAGGGATGTTTGTAGATAAAACTGTGCAGCTTTGCTCAAAGTTGAGTAAATCTTTTCCTATAGGGTTTAGGCCATCTGCTTCCTGAAGCCTGCTAGAAAAATTCCCAGGATGTTGCCAAGACACCTAGCTGTTTCTTCATCACAGGAGTGAGCTCAGACACTGCGCTCAGAGCTACTGTATCAGGGAAGAGAGGGTGCGTGTGAGGAGGTTTGAATCTGAGGGCTCACTGCTGTGAAGGTGAACAGCACCAGCTTGGCTTCCCTTAGCAGTTTATAGTTGGGCTTCATGAGGTACTTAAATGGCCTACACCTAAAGGTAGGTACGCACGGGGCTGAAAACAGTTGGTTCAGCAGGAATCGGCCAACTTTTTGACCTGTGTCTGCTCTGTTCTACAGAAGCCAGTCCTACAACTGGCTTCTGTCGAATGGGCATGCTGGAACACCAGCATTCGATCAGTGTTGGCAGCTAGTGCCTGTGAGCGCTGAAGGGTGTGTTCTGGCGGGGCAGTCCTCCTGTCAGAGCACAAAAGACACAGCAGGGGAGATCACCACACTAACATCGATTGTGTTAGTAGTGCAATCTGTGGGTTTTTTTTTTTTTTTTCAGCCCACTGAGTTGAACAAACAACTTCTAGTGTTTCAGGCTTTAGCAAGGACATTTTTCAGCTTTGGTCAAGGTTACACAGTTTGCTTTTATCTAGAGGTCTCATCTGCATAGGCAATTTTTTTGATAAAGGTGAACTATGCTTTTAAGCTAGCTGTACACTAGTCAGTTTAGCAGGGATCAGCCAAAAATCAATCATTCCTGCTCCACAGAAGTCTATCATTTTGATCAGCTTCTGTCAGAGGGACATGTTGGAAAATCTTGATCAGTGGTTGCAGCCAGTCAAATTCAGCCAACTATCTGTGTAATCTGACAGCAGAAGCTGCTTTCAGAATACAATGTTCTGGCAGGGGATTCCTCCATCCACCTTGTTTGGATAAAGGAATCTTAAATTCTTTTTTTTTTTTTTTTTTTTTTTTAGGCCAGGATTGTAAGTGAGCAAATGATCTCACATCAGTGATTGTCAGCTAGCAAGTTGTCTGGCATAGGAAACATGATTATTGGGGTAATGTTTCCCTTGCCATGCTTACAGAAGCAGTCACACAGACACAATGCCAACAGGACCACCCACAGTTCAGACTTCAGCTGATTCATGGGCAGTTTAGGGCCATGAAGATTGAGATTAATGAACCTGTTTTCTTTAACAATTTTTACCCCTTGCCTTACATGGGTACATTAAATATTTTGTATTACAAAAGGGTACACAAATAGCAGACTTGACATGTAGGCAGTCAGGTTAACTTTAACAGGACTTTTGAAATCTCTGAAACCGAGCAGGGCTAGTTTTAAGAGGTAAAACTTAAGAGTACAGTAAGCTTCTCGGTCTGATAATCCTCTTTCCTTCTCTGCCCCCCGAGATGCATGTGATTTGAGACCTTTTCTAGTTCAGAAACCCTTTGATGGCCTTCATTCTTCTCTGTGAGTGTAGTAAAGCTGGAGGTTGAGCACTTTTCATAGAGACACAAGTACATTTTATATAGAGCTCAGTTGTAACACACCTAAAATGCTACACCATCATGAATTTGCCGTAACATAGACCTGGTAAAAATGCTTACAGTAAAGTGAGCTGTTGGCAGTTAAA